CTCCCCCTCCTCCTCCTCCTCCTCCTCCTCCTCCTCCGGAAGCTCTTCACTTTTATCTCAGATATACTCGTGATCTAGTTATTCCCTAGCAAGGGAAAGGAACTCTGTATGACCAAAGCCACCCTTGCATTCCAGACCTCAGTCCTGGTTCTAGGGTTTGAATTAAGGTGAACCACCTGCCCCATGGCCCAGACTAGCCTGATCCCATCTGATCTCAGAAGCAAAGCAGGGTCAGTCCCGGTTAGTCCTTGGATGGGAGACCACCAAGGAAGCCCAGGGTCACTACACAGAGGCAGGCAAGGACAAACCACCTCTGTCCGTCTCTCGCCTTGGAAACCCTACAGGGTTGTCATGAGTCAGCTGTCACTCGATGGCACTTTCAACCACCACATCTGACTCACGCGTTCTTGGATCTAGCCCAACCTGGTGCAGGAAGAGGTGTTCATAAATGACAAGCAACGTTCTAAGGCTTCGCTTAGACCGTGATGGCTGAGCGGGGGAGCTCTTGCATTTGTATGCCGAAGATCCTGAGTTCAGTCCCTGTTAATCCCCGTTTAGCCCAGTTAAAGGGTCTCAGGTGGGAGGCACTAGGAAAGACCTCTCCCTGCATTAGGCTCTGGAGGACCTCTGCCAGCCAAGGAGAGGATATTGAGCTAGGTGTCAAACTTATTTGTTACAAGGGCCCCATTGGACATAAATGTCACTTTGTTGGGCCAGGCCGTGTATGCCATAAAAGGTAATTGCCAGGTACTGGAGACAGAAACTGTACAAAGGACAGCAGCTGGTAAGCTCTGAGTTGCTGTTTGCTTACTGGGCTGAGAGCGGGGTGCAGAGGAAAGCCCACATAGGTGAAGAGGCAGCAGTGCAGCGCTGGGCAGACGCTCCCACGATGCTTGACTGCTGCAGACAAGATTGTTCCGCCATGATGAAGCCACAATGGAGTGGCTCCGCCCACTTCCCCCCCCAGCACTCCCTCCCTTACACCAGTTGCTCGCAGGCCTCATCAGAGCCCTGGATGAGCCGGTTCTGGCCACCGGGCCTTATGTCTGACGCCCCTGAGCTAGAAGATCTGAGTTGGTCTAAGGCAGATTCCTACATTCAGTCCTGTGTCTAAGCAACGGGCCACCTGCTCTGGGAGGACTGGCACAAAGCGGGCATGAACAGAGCCAGTATATTACTAGAAGAAGAAGAAGAAGAAGAAGAAGAAGAAGGAGAAGGAGGAGGAGGAGGAGGAGGAGGAGGAGGAGGAGGAGATTGGATTTATACCCCGCCCTTCACTTGGAGTCTCAGAGCGGCTTACAAACTCCTTTCCCTTCCCCTCCCCACAACAGACATCCTGTGAGGTGGGTGGGGCTGAGAGAACTCTGACACAAACTGCTCTTTTTCAAGGACAGCTGTGCCAGAGCTTGTGACTGACCCATGGTCACATTAGCAGGTGCAAGTGGAGGAGTGGGGAATCAAACCCGGTTCTCCCAGATTAGAGTCCACACACTTAACCACTACACCAAACTGTTACAGCTCGTCTTGGTGTGGTGCCAGTGTGGGTCCAGTGGTTGAGTACCGGACTAGGACCCAAGTTCAAATTTCCACTCAGCCACGAACTTCACCAGGGCCTGTCACTCCTTCTTGGCCTAGCCTACCTCACAGGATTGTTGTGAGGCAAAATGGAGGGGAGAGGAGAAGAAGAAGGAGGAGAAGGAGAAGAGTTAGTTTTATACCCTGTCCTTCACTACCTGAAGGAGTCTCGGATCATCTAACAATCACCTTCCCTTCCTCTCCCCACAACAGACCCCCTTTGAGGTAGGTGGGGCAGAGAGAGCGCTGGGAGAGAACTGCTCTTTAGGGAACAGCTCTGAGAAAACCGTGACTGACCCAAGGTCACCCAGCTAGCTTCATGTAGAGGAGTGGGGAATCAAACCTGGTTCTCCCAGATTAGAGTCTGCTGCTCTTAACCACTACACCAAGCATGCTACCCAGAGATCTTTGGAAAGGGAGTGGGACAAAAATGTGGTAGGCATTGGTGGGCTGAGGAATGCACAAGACTGCACACAAGCCCAACGGGATGGGGGGGGTAGACTTGCATTGACCCTAGCATGTGAGAAATTGCCACACGTGGGGCTTTCGGTCATAGTTGCCATTGCTAAGGAATGACGGATGTGGAAATCCTCAGCAGAATACCAAAGCAGCAACAAGGCTAAGCGACGTGGGCCCTGTGTAGTCCCACATGGCCACGGATTTGTTATGCCAACACAAGGCGGGCATTCTGGTACAAATTCCGGCATCCTGACGACTTCAGCTGTTCTAAAAAGAAAAGAGTCTCTCACGTTCTAGCTCTCATGCTTCCACAGCCAGCCTTTCAAACCCCGCCTTCGAAACGTGCCTCTTCAATTTCCTCCGTCGCCTCAGGCCCCCTTCCTTCTGACCCAGAAATCCCAAAATCAGAACCACGAGAGCGAGTGACCTAATCACAACCAGCCCAACGTTGGTTTTTTATATTATTAAAAAGAGATTCATTTTGCAGGATTTGTTCTGATTAGACACTCTGAGCTACGTGGGAGCAGGATTTAGGATTTGGGTCTGTTTGCAGAATGCATACGGGCCTCAACGATGCCACCTCATCAAAAGCGCCTGCCCGGGACAGAGACGACTCTTCCCCGAGAAACTGGCCGTTTTTCGTCCCCAGTACTGGCCCCTTTGTGGCACCCACTAGCACTGCAGTGTGTTTTCTGGCCCCGTCTCTCAAACCGTATGCCCCCAATGTCTTTCTTCTCCTATCCATTCCCATCGTCCTTCTGTTCACCTGGGCAGGACTGAGGAACAGGTAAATGAAAACACGGGCCCTTCCCCTGCACCTTTCGTTTACAGCCGGAGTTGATCTGGGATTTGAGATCACTTTAGCCAACCGGCTTGGTGGTAAAATCATTCTGGATTAACAAACAAGGCCTACAAATATCTGCTTTGACATAAGCGGCCCATGGGCAGATCAAGAAGGGATTTAAATTCCTTTTATTTATTTATTTTTGCGGGCCACCGATGCGATGCAAACTCAGCTCCTCGATCAGAGTCCCCTGTCTGGTTTTAGACGTTATAGGTGCCCTTAAAGGTTCCCTTGCTCGAAAGCCAGTCGAGTCCGACTCTGGGGTTACGGTGCTCATCTCCATTTCCAAGCCGAAGAGCCAGCGCTGTCCGAAGACGTTTCCGTGGTCATGTGGCCGGCATGAGTAAACACCAAGGCGCACGGAACGCTGTTATCTTCCCACTGAAGCGGTACCTATTTATCTACTTGCAATTTCTTGCTTTCGAACTGCTAGGTTGGCAGGAGCTGGAACTAGAGACGGGAGCTCACTCCGTCATGCGGCAACTCAGGTCTCGAACTGCTGAACTACCGACCTTCCACAGCCTACAGTTCAGCGTCTTAACCACTTGAGCCACCGCAGCTTACGGGAGGCCAAACTACCTAAGCAGGGTTCAGCCCCGGTTAGCAGCTGGATGGGAGACCACGAGGAAGACCAAGGTTGCTACACAGAGGCAGGCAACAGCAACCCACCTCTGCTCCTCTCTCTTGCCTTGAAAACCCTATGACAAGGTCACCATGAGTCCCCTGTGACTGAATGGCCCACCCCCTCCCCTCCCTCTTCCAAATCCATTTCCAACGGGAATCCTGGAGCGTCCTGTCCCTTCGAGAACCTCTCTCCTTTCCTGGCTGGAGGGGGATGGAGAGGCAGTTCAGAGATGCTTTAGGCTGGTCCCGCGTTGGGCAGGGGGTTGGACTAGATGGTCTGCATGGCCCCTTCCAACTCTATGATTCTATGATTCAAAGCAAAGGTGTTTCCATTTGGGAAGGGGAAGGGGAGAAAGGCGGGTGGGCCTGGAAAGGCCAGCTGGAATCTCAGATCTGATTGAGGGGGCATTCAGCACCACGGACAGCGCCAGGGGTTCCAGCACCACGGACAGCGCCCATGTTTCCAGGACCGCGGACAGCGCTTCTGGCGGGCTGGGGCTGGGGTCGCGGAAGGCCTTGGGGGAGATGCCAAAGAGACGCCGCGACTGCCTTTGGAGGGAGGGAGGAGGCCAGGATATGGGGCAAGGAGTATGGGCCCGGGGGG